CGCCCTATTAGTCCAAGCTACGCCCATTAGTCCAAGGGCTTGAGGAGTTCTCACTCAGTGCTTTTCATTCTCTTGCATATGGATATTCTTTCCCATGAGTTAAGAAAAACGAATGCATCATCAGCATCTGGAAAGTCTCTGAATGCTTCTGTCTCCACAAAACAACGTCGCAGATTCATAACACAAAAAACACTGAGAAAAGGAACCCCCCCCTCCAAACTCTACCGAATCTTTAAAATGTGTCGCAAGCGGCAAGCGTGGCACTTTAGACTTTAGACATGCGAAGTACACAAAAATGCGGCGTCACAAACGGGACGCGAACCTCCTACTTCTACTCCTCCTCCTACTACTACTACTACTACTACTACTACTCCTGCTCCTCCTCCTGCTGCTGCTACTACTCATGATAGAATTAGCCGTGCAGGCTGGCTCTCTGCCTGGCTGGGGTGCGGGAGAATCGGGTCGACTGTTTTGGGCTAACCAGGACTGATGCGGGCTGACTCGGTCTGACGCATTACTTGGGGACGCCCACGCCCACCTGCCTGGCTCGAATCGAGCTGGGCCAGACCGCGCCAGTTGGCGTTGGGTGGACCGAGCTCCACCGACTCAAGTGCCACTGCCTTCGAGCCACAACCAGAGCCCTATGTCCTTGACACCCCCGGCTTTGAGCTTCGGGAAAACTTTGTCCGTTCTCTGAAACTTGTGTCAGCTTGTGCTACGCTTCTCCTCAGGCCATCCTAAACACCCTTCCTGTCACCCCCATGCTTTTTAGTTCGCAAACCTTAAGGGACATGGGGATCCGGAGTGTGCTGTGGTAAAGTTGAGAGTTTGAGCTCGATAGGGTTTCAGGGGTCAGGATTTGTTTCAATTGGGGGTCAGTGCTATTGAAGGTTTGGGGGTTTGCAGGGTACATGGTTATTGTAGGCTTGACATTAACAAGGCAGCTGGTAAATCTACGCCTGAATGCTCCCCTCCTCCAGCCTCGGCAGGGACCGGAGGCACATGCACAGCCTCTGGCTCAAAGCATCGTGCAATGTAGGCTGGCTCCTTTCAGGCTTTCAGAAGGCATTTTGGAAGCTCTTGCTTTTAATGCAGCAGCGTCCGCAGCTGTTGGTGGTGGTGGTGGGTGCTGTTGGTGTCAGAAGTAGCCGCGGCACCACCACTCAAGGCTTCAAAGTAGGTCCTCCGAGCCCCGAGCGACCGCAACCAAAGCGCCAGCCATGCGGCGGACCTATTGAGTTTGCAGGTTTGGGTCTGAGGGTTAGAGGGATGAGCAGCACAGGCTTGAAGAGGACTAAGTCCAATATGATCGGTCCGAAGTGTATGGACTTCCAAACCTCTGAACCCTCAACCAGAAAGGGTTTTGCGGACTCCTCGCCTGTTGTGGCCCGAAGTCTGCTGCAGCAAAGTTCACCGCAGTCCAGTCAGACTCCGACCAGTGCCTGCCTTTTCACAAAGTTTCGGGTGAGGAGTTGGAGGCTTTAGGTTTAACCATATGCGAGGGCATGTCTTTTGATTGCGGAAGGTTTCGAGGGGATGTGAATTTTGTAGTCCACCCCTCCCTTGCCTTCTTCCCGCTCCTGTGCTTCCAGCCCCTGTGCTGAGCAGTGGAAAAGCTGCCTCTGGATGTGAGCTTGGAGAAGGGGATTCAAAAAAGGGTTCCGGGTTTTGGTTTGGGGTTTTCTGGTTTCAGGTTCTGGGGTTCGGGTTGCGAATCTGAGGGTCAAGAATTTAAGGTTTAGATGCTGGTTTATGGCTACGGCTTAGGAAAACAGACTCCGGGGGACCAGGGAGATGTTGGAGCCATGTGCTGGAAGATCATACAAGTGCAGTGTAGAGGGACTATATTCGAATAAACTGATTCCTCTTTGGTGCTTGTCAATCAAGTTACAAGGTTTGAGTTTTGCGGAACCTGGGACAGAACGGCATGTGGAATTCTGTAGAGATTCGCAGAATCAGCCTTTGGCCTTTACACTGATTACCGAAGCATTTGTGGAAAGGCGGACAGTGTGCTGTGTAGGCATTTTAAATTGACTGCTTCAAAGGGCAAAGGGGCTTGGATTCTTGACCGAAGCATGGGATTGGGGTGAAGAGGTCGGCAACCAGAAAAGGATTAGGACTTCCAGCTTAGGTTGGAGCGGGTTCAGCAAGGGTTCATTGATGAATGAGGACGCACACAACTTCGAGGTCAGGTGGCCTTCAATCTATGCCCCTGGCTGGATCTCTTGAACCATGCTCACCACCATTCCACACATTTGGGCTCGTAAAAATGGCTTGTGCATTCCGTTGCTCTGAGCAATCGTGTTGCGTTGAGTGGAGTTCTTGCTTGGAAAGAAAGTGCTGTAAATTGTAGTCCCTGACTGACAGGCTAAACGCAAACGTCCAATAACCTTCAAAAACTCGCAACCCAATTCCCGGCACGAAAGCACAGGACACATGTCTATGAATACCAACAATCCCCAAGCACCCTCAGACTCAGACCCTAAAGCCTGCCACGAGCAACCACAAGCCAAAATTCCAGCTGGCTTGGTCCCCCTACCTCATTGCTGAGGGATCCCTGGGAGCTGGCGGTGGCCAGAGAAAGTTGTGGTAGGACCGAAGGCCCTTGCCTTGCACAACGCACACATAGGTGGTGCACGTGAGCCGTTGTAGGGGTCTCTGTGGCAACCGCTGTGCAGGGTGTGCTTTCTGTGCTATAGGGAGACAGCATGGGCGCTACAGAGAGCAAATCTAGGGGCGTCCGAAGAGGGTCTAGCGATGCAGGAGGATTTGGAGTCTAGGGTTGAAGGCAGCGCTGGAGTCCTTTTACAAGGTAAATCCAGTAAGAGACCTCCAGGTAGCACAGGTTCATTGGGTTCTCCGGCGTGCTTTCAGTGTGGAAGGAGTTGTGACATGTCGCTACTGCAGAGGCCAAGGAGAGTTTTCTCTTTGGGAATCTGAGGCGCAAAAAATGCCATGCTCCCCCTTTTGAAAACTATTGAAACCAGTACAATTCTCATTCCCAGGAGTCTATGCTTCTTCGGGCAAAGTTCAAGAGCTCAGAGGTTCCTTGGAGGAGTTAACAAAGCCTTTTTGTCTCATGGCTTAGGCTTTCAGACATCCTTTGAGAGGAAACGTACCCTGCATGTGTCGGGAACCCCAGCTGTCCCCAAACTAGCATGCGCAGACTTTTGTTAGCCTTCAACACTCCTGGACTCATGACGAGACTCACATACACCCTTTGAAACCCCTTCTACAAACGTTGGCCTGGACCGCTACAAACTCACCAGCCCTCTATCCTACAACTTGAAACCTGAAACCCGAAGCTTAAAGACCATCAATCTCAACTCCTTCAAGCTGAAAAACTCCAACCCTAGACTCGAGAGCTTAATTTAGTCTTGAGCGCCTGTTTGATCTAGTGCCTTATTCCAGAAGGCGATTAAGGAGCAAGTCCCCGACAAGAACGGCACCACCACAGCCCGACAAAAAAAAAACTGAGGGAAAAAAACGGACGCCTGTTCCTCCCATCCTACCTTCAGGGCGCTCCGGAGCAAGAATGGTTGAAATCAGCAGAACATCAGGAAGGTCACCTACTCAAACCTCCAAATCAAACCAGTTTCTACCAAGGGACGCGCGGCTGGGCCGCCTAACAGACAAGAAACGCAGTTTGGTTCAACCCTTGAATACCAAGACCCTATAACTGTCACAGGACTGTGATGGGGTTGGGCAGGCCAAATCAAAAATGGTCCTGAGCTTTTGCCTGTCGGGCAGCTTCCGAGTTTGAGGAATACCGCTTGGGATCTGGAGTAGCGGGGGCGTGCTGATCAAAGCTGCAGACGTAGGTCTAGGGCTTTGCCTCAAAACGAGTTTCATGCATGAGCCAGCTGTGTTGCCATCTCAAAGAGGTTCTCCCTCACAGGTGCCCGAGCATTTGCCAGCCCGTAGCATTTCTGCTCAAGTCATAGCCAATGAGAAAGCATACAGCTCACCCAAAGAAATGCTGTGGAACTTGAAAGGAAATCCTTGTAGACCACTGTCCTGTCAAAAAGCGATCTATGTGGAGCTTCACGTTTATTTAACCCGGGGTATGTTCCAACAATAAAGCCCATTCTGCATCCCAAGATCCCACTTCTCCCTGAGCCAATACCCAAGAGCATAAATGCGCCTGCAGTATTCATGCGAATCTGTGGTGCCCCTGCAAAACTGGCCACCCACTGTTCAGTCCTCATGCAAAGATTTCTCATAGCGTTGCTCGGTACGCACGCTTGACAATTTGGGGTATAGGGTAAGCCAGAGTGAAACAGAAACAAGAGTCTTTAAAGGAGATGTGAGGCTCAATGGAGGCTTTACGTGTTAACGGTTTCCAGAGTAGGCGAAACCAACCTAGGCACCCTGATTCTAGGAGGACGAATACGAAGACCAGGACTCCTTCGGGGAACTCCACGCTTCCCGGTAGATTCTGCGACGCCTTTGAGTTCCTTGAGCGCCTTTCGCACCCTTCCTTGGCCATGCAAGGAAGGATTGTTCTGTTTGGGGACGCCACGTTTCTAAAGCACAAGATTTAGGGCTTGAGCTAGAATTACACGGAAGGTTATGCAACTGTTATGGGCTATGCACATGAAACCGAGTAACAATCATGCAGCATCAGAGCCTTCTGGCCTATAAAAGGTGCTAGCATCCAGTGGGTCGAGGTTAAGAGAATCTCGGATTTCTTTGGGGGTAGGCGCTCGCACATGTCTGGAAATGTAATCAAGCAGTACCACTCCCAATTCCTGAGCCCTGAACCGTCAAGCCTGAGGCTGCCCCAAAACCTTTGAAATTCTTGCTGGGTTTGTGCCACGCCGCTATGGACGGTAAACTTCGCCAGGGCTTCGGTCAGCGGAAGAGCTACCAAGGAGCCTCCAAAAAAATGGGTTTAGGGCTTGAGGTTTCAGGCCCTAAGCAGAGTGTGTAGGGCTGAAGATTTCAGGCCCTAAGCAGGGTGTGTAGGGCCAATCTTTGAAAGGAAACATTGCCTCAAAAGAATGTTCCCCGAGATTTCGGCCAATCTGGAGAAAACTGAGCCGCGAAGCCATCAACCTACATCTCGAAGCCTAAAACCCGGACCCTAAATCTCCTTGCATGGCACCGCGTAAATCCTGTATGATGTCCATCTAACCCTTGACAGTCTTGCCAGCTTACGGCCCTCATAGGCCAAGGCGCTGTCGTGCCACTGACGTCCATTGAGCTGCTCAAGGGCCCTCTGGGCCTCAGGCTCGGGGAGGCGAACCTGCACCTCAGCTGCTGAGGGATTTATGCATTGCCACTGGTGTGTTTATCGCCTGGAATTTAAGGTTAGCAAATTAAGATCTCCAATGCTTGAAGCGCAGGTGGTTCCTGATTGGAAAATCGACCGATCACGTAACCCCATGGCTTGTACCTATGGATCCTCGAAAGGTGCTCCATATAGACACTCAGAACTGTTTCCAGCGAGAAGTATATCCCCTGACCAAATTCAAAGCACCGGTAAGAAATTAAACAGGTGATAATGAAGAACCCGGCAATGCCACACCTGGATCTGAGTGAGGCATTTTTGACAAAGCACGTCGTCAAACCCGCAGACAGAGCTGTTCAAGCATAGAGACACTGGGGCTAACCGCCCATCCAACATGAGCTATCCAACGAAGGACAGAAAAATCGTGAAGGACTTCCCAAAGTAGGCGACGGTTGAAATGTTTGTTCCAGAAACTATTTAGAACAATGCAGCGCAGACGTACTTAAGATTTCAAACCAGGGGGGCAGCTTCAACCAAGTCTCATGGCCCTTGCCGGTCTCAAATTCGATGTCCTGCAGGCCAATGCGAACTATACCCGCACTCAGAACCGACCCAACTGTCTCCCAAAAAATGAACACCGCAGGTCTACACCTCTACATGTAGCTCGGTGGTGTGCTTTAACATGACATATTAACCCCTATACACATGCGTGATCTTTGCGAAAACACTGGAGGCCAGGCTCTTAAAGCAGGTTGACTCTCTTTTTTTTGTTGTGCTCTGGCCCCCTCCCCCAGCCCTTCCCTTTGTTGCTCACGCTCGCACCCCTTGGCGTTTCGAACGTGATTTCTATAAGGCTTGCATTGATGTCATCTTCTCGCATGCACCTAAACGCATGCACTCTGTTGAGCACGGTCCAACAAGGTCATGTGAACATGGACCTCTACTGCACCCCACATGAATAAGTTTGGGATTTCAAGTCAGGGTTGAAAGATCAGATCCACTGAAACAGAAGTCCTTGCCAGGAAAGGCCATGCTCTCTACTCACCCGAAATTAGAATAGATCCTTGTCTCTGGATATGTGCCGACAGAAGTCAGAAGCCTAAACAAAAAGACCAAAACACGAAAGCAAGAAACCCTGACGGGACACTAAGCACCCACGACAATCAGAGTCAGTTTAATGATTAAGTTTTCCTGCAGAACCAGAGATCTCAAGCCTGTAGACCCAACTGCCACCACTAAAACCTAAGGAGCCGAAACGAGCTGATGAAGCCGTGACCTAGCAGAGTGCTTGGCAGTTGTGCGACTTTAGGCGGCTGGAAAGTTCTCCAGTTACAGATGCCCTTACTGTAAAATTAATTCTGGACACCAAACTGTCCCAGACCGTTCAGTTTCAATCCCTCTGCCCACACTGGAGTGTCAACCAACAAATGTCTTGATTTTAAGATAAGCGTTTAGGCCACAGCCAAAAGTTAATCGCAAAACTCACTCCAGCAGCAGTTCACATTGTCAGTCACATTGTTTCAAAACCCCAAACATGAAGGACCGTGTAGCACAAAAGGTAATGAGGTGTCTCGACATCATGGAGGCCTTGCTACGGACCATTGTATCTCAGCGAGTACCATGAATGCCTGTATCTTACGGCACTGCCATCAAGGGCCCAGGAGACAAACACCTGTACCACCGCGAACTGCAGCAAGAGAGTATGAAAATGCCGACAGTATACACTGGCGCTGCATTTCCAACAAGCCTCAAGCGCAACCCCGAACCCTCAACCCTGACCCCTTCCAAACCCCAAACCTGAACTCTAAACACCAAACTCTGAGCTCTACCCTTCTCATTCCGCACTCTGAATCTTAAACGCTGCAACCCTGACTCTCGAACACGCAAGGCTGCCCCGCCGCCTTGAACTCTGCGAGCACGCCGATATCCGCAAGCAGTTGGAGCACGTCCTCTCGGGCTTAAGGGATTTTAGGCTTCAGAGCTTATGGTAGCTATTGGGGGGCTTTAGGGATTTTACGCTTAAGGGATGCTGGGGTCTAGCGGTCTAGCAAGTTGTGGCAGCCAAAGCGCTGCAAAGTTTTTAGTGCTGCCTGCGCTATCATTCATCATCAGCAGCAGCACCACCACCACATAGAACCAAACCTCTTCTTGAACACTGAGCCCTTATGCCTCATCCCCAATTCCTTCCTCCCTCATCCACAACCCCTTATCTCCTCAGAGGCCCTCAAAGGCAAAACCAAGACCCTGAACCCTGTAAGCTAATACCTGTACTTTCAGACCTCCGGTCGGCAGGCATCGCGAAGAGGCCCAAACCAAACCTGGGCTCTGGCTTAGTTCAGTTCAAGAAGCCCGAAACCGAAACCCTAGGTTGCTGTA